AAATGCTCTCTCGTTTACGGTATCTGTCCGGAAGTGGTTTATTGGGACAGCGCGAATTTTTCGCTTCGTAACGCGGGGACCTCAGGTCCCCTGATGATCAGTGGTGAACCTCAAGTTCCCGCAGCGAGAAACGTGTCGCGCTGCGAAACGCGAAAAGATGCTTTCTGACCCACCTGTCCCTGCTCCAGGTGCCCAGTTTTCGTCTATTGATTCTTCATCTTGGATAATCATTACTCTCATGATCAGTTTCATTTTTATGTAATCGCAGCACGCTTCTAATTCTAGTCTTGACTGCATTAACCATCCACATTAGGTGATCGAGAAATGCACATTTGTTATACAGATACGAAATGACTATGACCAATTTAATTTTTATTAATTGTAGCACATTTATAATGACACATCGCCTTTTTTAACTGACTGTTTGGTATTTCTCTGACCACTTTTGCGCTGCTTATTAGTCGAACGGGAGCATGGACTTTTTCCGGTATTTTTCACCAGTTTCGCACTTCGACATGACTGAGTGCTTGCTTCTTCACCTGTTTTACTGAAACACTTTCCACATGCTGAATGATCGTCAGATGAGCTGGAGCTTGAAGAACATTTCTTCCGCCTTCCGTCTCGTGCTTGTCGAACCGGCCTTTTCACATTCAGGTTTCGCGATTCCGTCGAACGCGCAGTGGACCTGGTTGAATGCTCTCTTGTCGATGATTTTGATTTTGTATGGCGTTTAGGAGAGAATACTGTGAAAAATCTACAGCTCGCACGAGGAGTTCTAGGCTTCCTCCCACCACTTGTACCTGTTGATTGACTGGTGACTTTTCCACCTCGTCCACTAACATTTCTTCCACCTGCTGAACGCTCTTGCGATGAGCTGGAGCTTGAAGTTTGCTTCTTCCGCCTCCTGGGACGAGATCGTCGCGCAGGTCTTCTCGTATTTACTTGACGACTTGCTGTAAGCCCAGTTGACATTGACGAAGGTTCTCCCATTGCTGACCTCGTTCTTGACGCCACCTGACGCTTGGGAGGTGCCACCGCGAAAAAGCCCTTCTCTTTACGGGACACTTTACTCATCCTCCCACCGCTCGTACTCTTTTGCGCTTTCCCATCGGAACTAGCACGCTTTTCCTTCGACAGATTTTCAGCAAGAGCAACATTCACGCCGTTCGGAGTCTGCTGTTTCAATATAGCTTGCTGAGATCGATTCGGGCTCACGTTGACTCCTTTTCGTTTCGCCTTTCTTTTCGGCTTCACAGCATGTGGTTTCTCGTCACTAAAATCAAACCTAGTACGCTTCGATAACTAAATCTCCAAACATACCTACATCAGCTCAAGGGGGTCCTCCCATACGACCTTCACTCTCCCACCCCTCCCCTCCCGACCACCACCCTCACCATCATGGCTGTTTCTATTGCATTTGCTTTTGGAAGCCAGTCCACACACTTTAACTCATCCAATGTTTTCAACCAGATTGACCCTCGCGCGTGGGAAAGGGAGGCATGGAGCAGCTGGTTAGGGTCTAATGGCAAGCCTGGAAAAACGGCCATTTCCTCTTCTATTTCTCATATTCGTGAAGAAACTCATCGGAAGCAATCCCCTATTCCACAACCACAACCCCATCAACTTTCAAAATATAAGCACCTATTCGCACTTTCTTTGAAAGATCTGGTCAACCCCAAATTCGATATTCTCTATCAGAATCGCGCAAATGCCCCCACCCCCCCTTATTCCGCAAGCATCTGCTCTTTCCAGTCATAGCTAGACCTTTTTCACCCACCATGACCTGTACTAACTTAGTATGAATGTTGACGTAAGCAACAAGCCCGTTTGGCGCTTCGGTGGGACCGTAATTGCTGGATGTTGGGAGGGGCAAAGGAAGTCCCGGATCACTTCAACTCGGTCCTTAGAACCGCCACAATTTGGTGCTTACCTCAGAACTAAGCCTTAAAGAGAGGACGGGTCCGTCCCCTCTCCAAGGCTTAGTCCTGGGGTGAGCAAACCAGCCCTTCTGGCGGAGCTGCTGGACCAGCTGCACCACTTGCGTCAGTACTCTCCTATCGTACCAACCGAGTTGAAGTAAACCGTCGACCGTTGGGGACCCCATCCCTCTCCCAACATTCAGCATACGGTCCCAGCCGAAACGCCAAAAGGGCTGGTTTGCTTACCTCCGATGAGGTGTCGTTTGATTTATGCTGCAGTAATGCTGCTTAAGGCCCAGTCGACCTCTGGCGGCTTATGGGCTTGATGGCGTTGAACGTTAGGATTCTTACAAAATGCGAAGGGCAAACTCCCGCACACAAGCTGTTAGCACATACGGGCATCAATCTTGCTTTTTTCTGCAGAGAGTGCGCTAACGCGGTTTCAGAAAAACCGTTGTCGTGGCGATAAGGAAGGATTTTGAACGCCATTGAGCTGTTGGCTTATGACTCGCTTCGGCTTGCGAAGGAAGAGTTGCCAGTGAATCACATGTTACCAATCCAGGTGTGTGAAGAAAGATTGTTAAATGGTAACGCCGAATTTCGAGGCGGCAGTTACCGTAACCGTAGTAAGTGGAATAGCGCTTCACATTAGTAGACAAACTTGCTTTAGCGCTTGGTCCGATGCTCTTACTCGTTTCCCTCCTTTGTGTTTCTCTTTTGATTTCTTGGCTACCTGCTCCCAATTGACCTTGCCTTTGGTAGTGGGCAAGACAAGGAAGAAGGCATAGCAAATTTTCAAGCCCCTTTGCTGAACCCGTCGCAGTGGAGGAGATTGCGGAGGTCTTGCAGCGTCAAATCGCAGGCGTAATATCTCATTACGCGATGTTGTACGGTCCTTTCTCCTGCTTCATTTCGCACACACGCACTATCTCCTATGCCGGAACACTATTCAAATACATGCATTCGAATTTTGGGCGTTATTCGGATCATGGCGCGTCTTGGAAGATCTATTAAACACTGCACTCTCCAAAGTCGCTTACTCGATTGACAACGAAATGTTATGTAAAATGTAGTACCCAGACATAGACTGAGTTGGATCGTCGCCAATTTCCCAATCGTAAGGCAAATCGATATTTCCGCCTGCAGTTCTTGCTCCCTGCAATTGGATCTTTCATCAATGTTTCTTAAAGGAATCTTCCGCGGAAAAAGCTCCGCCTCCATTACCACAGAAAAACGATACCCTTAGGCCCCTAGCCTCATGAGCATAGCAAAAAGAACGGAACATAAGCGTTAGTTTCGATAATACTAATCCTACACACAAGACAAAATGATCACTCTTTCCGTGGAAGATTCCTTTAAGGTATCGTTTTCTGTGGTAATGAGGGCGGAGCTTTTTCCGTGGAAGATTCCTTTAACTTTTCTATTAGTAGTACATAGAAATTTGACTATGCCATCATCAGGCCTATTACTTGTAATGAAGAAGTGTCACCAACTAGCTCTAGTAACTTGTATATATATTCATAGTCGACACGATCTTGATACTGTAACGTATCCAAGTAATCCATAACGCTCATAAGTTGTGTTTTACACTTAACTCCATGGAATGCTGCTTCCTAAAATTTTACCTGTGGTTGTGTTGGATTTCTAAATGCTAAAGCTCATGGTTAGAGCGCTACTTCAGTGAATGCATATGAGAAATCGATATCGACTCTGCATGAGACAAATCGATATCCATTTTAACGCACGGGCAGAGACATGGTTGACAGGAATATGAAAGCCCATGTCTTTCGATATCTTTTGTGAAACCGAATCACTTACTCTTCTGATTGTGCGCATTTCTTCTTTTATTTTTCTCACCATATTTTTGTCAGGGACCGATTTCCATAAAAGCCCTAAAACACCACTATATAGTGTGTCGAATGCATGTCGCGGTTCGCGACGGCG